GTGTGTTGCTTGTAAGTTATTTAATGCAAGAGATATTTGTTGTTTTCCACAAAAGATGCATAATTCTAGGTTTGCAGCAACTATCCCTTCAGGAGATCCAATAAACCTCAGTATACAACCCAAAGATGACATTCTGGTAAAGAGCAAGTGACAAGCAACTATGATGTTGAAGCAAGTTCAGCTTCAAGTGTCAATTTAACACCATCCCTAAATGCAGTTGTTGACATATTGAGTGTCTGAATCAATCTGGTGATATCCATGGATATATCTACTGGAGATTTAACACCGTGGTTAACCTAGAAAGTTCAGATAACACACGCATTGTCGCTGCTGCGCCCACAACATCGCAGAAGCCATTGCATCAGCTGCCCAAAATTTCCAGCATCTCCAAATGTCAAAAATCAAATCCGTTAGCCTTCCTAAATTCACCCGAGACCCTCGGGACTTTAACCAAATATACCAACATATCCCAAAATACCATACGAACTTAGTCTAGGCCTTAAACCACGTTAAACAACACTAAAATTTCGAATCGTGCTATGAATCGAATTATGAGTTTTCAAATCTTTCAACTTCTATATTTTGCGTAGAAACATATCGAATCAAACCGGAATGACTTCAAATTTTGCACGAGAATCATAAATGACGTAATGGAGCTGTTCCAATTTTCGGAATCGAAATCTGACCTCGTCAAAATTTCAACCTTCGGTCGAATTTTTTCCAAAATCTCCTATTTTCTGACTTTCGCCAAAATGCGTCGAATTGTCCTACGAACTTCCAAATCCAAATCCGAACATATGCCTAAGTCCGAAATTACTATACAAAGCTATTGACATCATCAAATCTCCATTCCGGGGTCGTTTGCTCAAAAGTCAACTCTTTCTATTTAAGCTTCAAAATGAGAATTTTTCTTTAAATTAAATTCCGAATCTTCCGAAAACTAAACTCGACCATACACGCGAGTCATAATACATATTACAAAGCTGCTCGAGACCTTAAATCCCTGAACGGGACATTAAATTCTTAAAACGACAAGTCGGATCGTTACACGCATGTTAGGTACACGGTTTGAACACAAGCATTAGTGATAATTTCTTATGTAACACAACAGGGAGAAAACAACAGTGAGAGCAGATTGAAAGCTCATATAACAATTGGTAAAAACAAAATGGACTGCATATTGAAGTGATTAGATGAAACTTTCACTACGCCTTGTGAGGTTGAAAGATACAGAAAGTTAAAGTTCCTACCCTTTAGCTCATAATATAGGTTAGCTAATAACCAAATTAACTAGCAAAGAAAGGCATGAAATTTACAGAGCAACTGGGAGGTTCATTGTGCGATAACAAATTAAGGTATAATAACATACTACCTGACTCATTGTACAGACAAAAATGTTGATTTAACACAAGGATCAAAAGAAACCATTTCGAGGCAGCAGGGGAACACTAGAAGAAAATAGCATGTGTGTCGAGGATTAAGATTGCCAGTACCTTTTCTGCTGCAACCACAACCATAAGGCGTCCAAGGATCTCTTGGTCAGATAATCTTGCAAATCGGACCAGGGCACATATACTTTGAATCAAACGCTCAATATTCCTATCATCTGATGCATTTAGCTCCAAAACGACCTCTTTATAGTTTGGTCCCAAAAGCTCATGAGCAAGAGCCAATATACTAGTGGTTTTGCCAGTACCAGGAGGACCCTGCAGAAAGTTTTATATAGAACTGAATATCTAACATGAAGAAACTATGTACAAAATTTTTAGCAAACCGCTTTTGCCAATTCAATGTGACACCAAAGGGACAAACATTTCAGAGTCTGGAAGTCCTATATTAGATATGCATTTGAGTAAAAATGGTCAACTTCCAGGAAAACTAGCAATAACTACTTTATTTTTATACATTCTCATCAATCAACACATTAAAACTCAATGTTACTCAAGGATACAACTCAGGAATCATAAAAAGATGGTATGTGAAACCAAAGACCATTCTTCCAAAAATAGAGTACGCACAAGAGGTAAAAGAATCAGTATCCAACATCAGGTATAAGCTAATACAAAAGATCATAGTTCTTTGCAAATATGTGTACATATAACTATGAAACTCCAAGTACCATTGAGCAAGCACCATCAAGATCTACACAAGAAAAGGAATAAGGAATGCTTCATATTCAGGACTTATTGACCTCAAGAGAATAAAACTGAGGTCGCAGTAGCAAAACTATAATCCAGCAAAAGTCAAACACATTGTATGGAGCTTTTGGGCCATGTATGAGCTTCAATGGCCACTTCTGGAACACTAAATTTCCCACTAACAATTTCTTATAGCATGACCTGCCGGAAAAAAAGCCTCCTTTCCCAGCAGGCTCCCAAACAATAAACTCCTTTCAACAGTTTTGCAACACTGTTGATATCTCAATCAGAACAACTTTGTTTGAGGCTTAAACTCCATTTGTAACCA